AATAATTTGCGACGGTACGTTGAAAATAACCACGTTGCCAAAGACAATGTTGTTTCAGGGGTCTAGAAGAATGTCTGTCTGTTGAAAAAAAACTACCACTGGTTTCTAAAAGTCTCAGTCCAGCCGCTTCCTTGGCTAAATAGTCCTTTACTCCTGTCGTGTTAGCAGGTTAGATCGACTATATCTATCCAGTTTGCTTATGAAAATGAAAAATATCGTACAAGCCGACTAAATGAATCATATTCACAATATGGCTATAGTTCTGTCAATATCACTTTCTTGAGTAGTTGGTTTTCTGGAAGTGGGGTCTTAGATACGTCCATGTTGTCAAGTTTGTGAAGAACTCCTAGCAATCATGATGAACGTTTCAGAAAATCATTATTTGGGTAACAATCCAACCTTCTGAATAATGATGTTTTTGGAAAGACAATAGAGAAATTCATACCTACAGGTAAAACTTCTATTCTTAATGGAATGAGCGTATGCCTATTCTCTCGGAACTTTCACGCTGATATACAATTGAGATGCTCAACTGGAGTTGAGTAATCATTTCTTCAATCTACGTATTCTAATTGCGATATCTCTTAAAACAATCTAGAATCTCAAGTTCGCCTGTTACGCAGGGCGAGAGTTGAATTAAATTCCTGGAGGAAAATTATTTTACGTCTTCAGAAGTGACGAATCTATTTCTTGAAATCACCGGGAAGTTCAACTCGCAATCTTCTACGAGGCGAACATTATATACATTGATGATTCATGCAATTCGTTTTTAGTTGAACTTTCAGTTTTTCTGGTTCATAATTCACAAAAGTTTCGATTCGAATTTTGTTTTGCTACGTGCTGTTGGAGATAATCAAGTCACGCATACGAGCAATTACGAACTGCCAAATACTTTACATCTCTTCAGTCGAGCGGAATCTAAATGTGCGCAACGAAACCAAAACGCCACCGAATAACTTATTTTTCTCCCTGAAAAGATCTAACGAGGCAACGTGAGCGAATACCTGACACTTAGGGCCATAAAAATCATCCGTAACCCGAGATTAAACCCGCATTAAATGCTCTCCTCACGAATCTTCGTGACAAATTGTATGTGTTAATGGAAGTTGCAATCAAACGGAGTAGCTGTCAAAGTGGCGCAAAAGTGTAATTTCGCTCCGAAATTAATTCTCAGCGGGGTTGTTATAATTGCGACTCATGAATACGATTCGAATTATATGTAACAGTCCATTCGGGCTTTGCAGTTTTTCTGGTGAGCTGCAGGAATGGCCAAACGAATGGAAAGTGTTCCAGTTATATTTATTATATTCGAAATAGTAGTTTCAATTTCCGTGGCTTATATTTCATGGCAGGCTGGACAAAAAACCTTTTCTTAAGTATACACATGAAAAGTAAAAATATTTGATAATCTCTGATCTATTGAGCTTTCAGATTGAAGAGCCCAATTTGGTTCAATACATTATCCATCTCCATATATCGAATCATTGATATACTCTGCATTATCCTGCATGATCCCTCCGCTCAATATCAACAAGGCGTCTAGTTCTGATAAGTTCCCGTCATCATACTCTAGAATTTCACCAATGAATCCGCACCAGTATGTTGCAGACTTTTCAACCAGTCCTACAAGGAAGGGGTCATTTCTTCTTGTTGGAAGATTGTAACCAATTCTGATATCTCTGAGCTACACTGATATAGAACGGCGATCAATAACTTTCTGAAAATTCGGACTATCTGTGAATGTGAACACAGCACAAGTGAATTCATCTCACTTCATTTCTCACGGAAAATTCCCAACGGTTCATTTAGGTTTATACCGAACCTCAGAAGCTCCAAGTTATCTTCATAAGGCAACTCATACATGAAAAATCTTCCGGTTCACTTCTGTCCCCCTGTATACTGACGATCTGCGAATATTATCCACTCGCAGGAATATTCAAACCACCATCATGGTAATCAAAAAATGCAAATTCTTCCATGTAGGGGTTCCGAAAGCGGGAGACAGTGGTGAAACCCAAAGTTTGCACTCAAATATTTGCCACGAAAATTCGATGACTTATTTGATGGCTGTTTTGTAATTTCGGTTAAGGCGAGAGTTTTGCGGGTGCTGGGCCCAGGACCAAACAAAAGAGACCGCGGTTTTATAAGTTTTGTTAGGGTGGAAGAAGACAGAGAGATATTAATTTTTTTGCACTCAAATATTTGCCACGAAAATTCGATGACTTATTTGATGGCTGTTTTGTAATTTCGGTTAAGGCGAGAGTTTTGCGGGTGCTGGGCCCAAGACCAAACAAAAGAGACCGCGGTTTTATAAGTTTTCCTGGATGACGACGTTTTGTTAGGGTGGAAGACGACAGAGAGATATTAATTTTTGATAACCACTTGCTGGAATTGGTTTTCAGCAGTTTCACTTTACAGAGTTGAATAATGAGAACGGAACAGGGACGATTTCATATACTTGTTGTTTACAAAAAAATAAAGCTTGAATCCCCCGATTGTTTATTCTCGCCTTCAGCAATATTATAAACTTTGCCCCTGTCACCAAGACAGTGGTGAAGATCCAACCAAAATCTCCGTTTGAAGGTCAGTGATTTTCATCTGCAACGATTGTTTTAATTCAATGCAATTCATATAAAGACACTGTTAAAAAAAAGAAAGGGGTATGTTTTTTGCTTTCTGCTCCTCCATTTCTATGCAGAAAAATGTTGGAATCTTCTCCCGTTGCCTCTGCTGTCGCCTCTATATTTTCCAAAATAATCTCCTCGCAGCTCTAAGTCAGGCAGGATACTTGCTTGTTTGATTCAGTCCCAGCCTTAGGAATCGTGTTTGAATTGAGAAAGGTATATTTTTAGGACAGATCAGTTTCTGGGAAAGAAGGGTTTCTGCTCTCTAGTTCTCCATTTTAATGCTCAAAGATGTGGGAATCTCCCAAAGAAAGAAAAAAACAATCAATTTCGAATTATTCTACAAAACTTTCATGTTTTACTCTCTCATCAAGTAATGCAGTCAGCTAAACTGAACTCTGACAGAAATAGTGTAGAAACTCTTTGATAGAAATGTATAGAGGTTTGACACCTCTCTTGCGTATAATATTCCAGGGTCATCATTGTTGTCAAACCCTGTAGAAATGCCTCTGAAGTTTATGAGAAACATGTCACAATCATCAGCTATTGCGAATAAAACTCATTAATAATAGATATATAGAGTTCACAACTTTAGTGCATGATCTACATATTTTTAAGAAGAGTTCAATTTTGAAATTAATCGATTTCTTTCTTTCCCATATTTTTTGTATGGAGTTGGAGGAGTAGAAAGCCAAGAAACTTTTTTTCTGAAAACTGATCTTTCCAAAAAAATATACCTCTTTCAATGTGAACATATCCAGCTCTTATTTCGTCACACAAAAATTAATATTTACTTAATTATCATCGCTTACTGAAAATTGAGTGAGGGTTGAAAAAATTCATATATTTCTGCTTCCATTTAGTTTTGTGTATAAATAGTTTATAAAATACTTGAATTAATTAAAACGCCTATATCGATATCAATCTAAACCAAATTCGAATGAATATATACCATGAAATAACCCTCGATTCAATTTATTTAAAATAACAAGCTTATTTGTTTTCAATATATTGCGCGTTTTTTATTTCAGAATAAATACAGATTCCATATTATGTATTGAATGGAAATATTGCTGTATTCCGCCTCATGTACTTCACAAAAAACTATTTCATACGAGGTTTTGTGCAAACAATCATTCGCATGATGCATTTGAACTAACGAGACGCTCAGATTTTGTATGATATCAGTGAATTTATGGTGTGAAAAATAATAATTATTCAAAAAACTGCTGCATAAATCAAAATTTCAGGTGATAATTAGTTGTTTCGGTATTGCAATGAGTATAAAGATTAATTTTGTTTCAGATGGTAAAATGTTTCCTCAATATTTTGATAAAGGACCCCGCACATTTCTTACGAGAAATGGTCCCGCACATTCCTTATGAGAAATGGCTTGCCTTGAATTTTTCCTAAATTTTGATATGTTGTAGTTCTTGATGTGCTGATTGAAAGTGTCCACAGCCAAAGCTCAGAATTGTACAGTTTTCGAGTTGTGACCCTTTGAATATAGATTGTTTTTCATTTTTTGCAGTTTTTGCTCATCAATCGAGAGCTCTCACTTCTGATTGGGATAGAATTTGGATGTTCAGCAACCACAATTAGTTTTACGAATAATCTTCTTCAGTTATGATAGATGCCGACATCGATAATTTTTCATACACTATCAAGATAATCTGAGAATGTAGTGCTGTGACATTTTCCTCAGATAGCTCAAAATGGATGATACCATCTCACAGCATCTGTATCTTTCATACCTGAGAGTACTCTCCAGATAGAATGGAGGGGTTCAGGTATTGGAAGCGAACTATTTTGCGCCGTAATATGTTTCACCTAAAAATGGGGTGTTCCATCGCGAGTGGCGGACAGTGTATATCACTTTGGCCAACCCCATTCAGGTGGTAGGTGCATTTTGAGCATTTCCATCAGTCCAGAGAGTTTCATCGTTCTACCTCGAATATTACGGAAGATACGGGGGTGTTTCCATGAGAAGTGAGACACACTGTATGCATCAGAGCATTGCAAATATCACAATAAATGTTTCAAGGAATCGTCATCGTGACAAAAGGGTTGAGGCTTTCCAAAATCCCACGGCTTTCAAACCCAGAAAACAGTGACTCTGAATCACTATAATGCTTTTAGATTATTGTTTCGTCAGAAAATAATGTGAACGTATCCATAAATCATCAGTTGTTAGGTAACTTTCGTAAAAAATGAATAATAGTGGGACAAAAACTGAGCCTTGGGGAACACCACACTATATTTTGCCTTCATTCAAAGAGCAAGTCGTTTCAAAAGTTTCACTACGCTCAGATAGACTTCTCTCCCGTCTGTTCCATCAAATCATTCTATCCCGTTGAAGTCAAGAGACATATCACCTAGCAATCAACCTGTTTAATGTGCCAGAAAACTCTGGAGAGTAACAACTACTTCGCAGGCAACACAATAAAACACTTTTCATTGTCAGCGGCAACGTTCACCTCGACATCGTCATAAACATGTTTATTTTCTCCTAGAAGCGCGCTTCCATGAATTTCCAATGTGGACCAGCTCGGGCGGAATTGTTCCTTCGTTTTTCATTTGTCAACGGTCGGCCAAGTATTCGAAAAAAGCTGTACAGCTTTGTCAGCGCCGGAGAAAATTCATTAGCCAGTTGAAGTGTCTTTCCCAAGTAGCTTGATGATATCTTGAGTGGAGACAGCAATGAAATTTTCTTCTAGACAAGTTTCAGGTACGTGGAGTTCGGGGAGAATGGAGTTTTTGGGTTGTTTCCGCTTCGGTTAGCAGGAGTTCAATCAGCATATTCATGAGTGGAGCCTGGCAAATTTTTACAAAGTAAATTGCTCAGTTTTTAATAATATCTTGTAGACGACAAACATTACTTGTGATTGTTATGCTGGAAAAACGTCTACACTGAAGGAAATTGAATTCAGTAACACTTTTCTTGGGTTGGGATTTGTGGATTTACAATGACATATTATTTGGCAATTTTAAAGTTATTAACGTAGCTGAAATAAAAGTATAACGTACTGCACTGTACCTACCAAGTAATGAAAATCTAACAACTCCGTACCTATCAACAGCATTCCGATCACCACCAACCGCTGCAGACATTCAATTTGAAAAGTATGTCTCGCAAGCGATCATTTGCATGTGTTGAATAGATTGAAACTGATTGACTTTGCCTATTTGCCGTGCATTTTCTGTGTTTGATTTTTGAAGTCTTGTTAGTGAAGTCCTCTTTCATGAATGGCTATAGTAACGCAAAGAAAACTGTAATGCATTTCATTAATGGACTTGCTGATGGCCATACATTGGAATCTAGGCGGTTGTACAGTAAACGATTTCCTAATCATAATGTACCTGATGGTACATCGTAATGATACTGATGGTAATGCTCTGCATTACCAGATGTAGGCTGATTATAATGAGATTTCGCCCCGTTCCCCAAGGAGATTACCCTGTGTCCGTTCAGCTGTCGGCATGATTCCTTACACCTTAGCTTGGGTGGGCTGTTCCGACAACAGAAAAAGAAAACTCGCAAATACGATCAACAGAAATCTGTCGGCGAGCAACAACTCCCAAAGTCCAAAGTCGAATCACTCCCAAATGAGATCGAAGTTAGTCGATGAAAGAAGAATATCAGACTTCAGAACATCGTCCATCCACTTCGGGAGAAACACAATAAGAAATAACCGGTCTCAAACGAGTTTAAGAAGTTCGAATTCAAAGTAAATGGAAGTAGCAGGAGAATAATGAACTCTCGAAAGTAATGTTAGGATTCTTGCGGAACTTCTATTGTTTATTGAGTGAAGTCGGGGAGTTCTTTCCATAATTATGACTGAAAGTATGGAAGCATGAAAAACAAGGCTGAAAAGAATAATAATGTACATGTAAAATAATTTTTCAACTTTGAATATCTGTTGCTATTTTCTTGTGCATCAGTCATGATAGAAAAATTAGTTTGCTGTTGTTCAAAAAATATATACACTGGATTTTATTCCTGTCATCCATTAGCCGAACCATGATGATGGTCGTCATTAACTGAAACGATTGTGAATGCAACAATTGAGAGCTGGATAAGAATGGTTGAAAACTTTCTCAAAAAAAACACAGGTTCTTTTTAAAAGAAAAAATTGAAGGTGGCTATTATTGAACGAATAATGAAAGTATATATGAAACACATAAACACATTTGTCTGTATTTTGAATAAAGGAAGTTCTGAAACAAGAACACAAAAGTAATTCCAGCAATCTACTAACTTTGGGGGTCTTCAAGAGACCAATAATGGTTCATTGAAAAAACCCAGCCTGTATATAGTATGTTCTCTAACTTGATGTCAAGTTAATCAAAACCAAACATTTTCATTATTATAGTCGAAGAAAATGAAAAATGAAGTCAAATTATCTAAAAGAACAATCCCTTCATGCCAGTCTTACCTCAACTCCTGGCTACAACTACTCTCCTGGCTAATACCACGAAGGGCGTTCGATTATATCAAACAGGCGTCAAGTGCAGGATTCTTCACAGAAGCAACTCCTGCATATGCTGTTGGCGGTACAACTACCGAAATGGATTTTCAGTTATTGGAACGGGCACACTTGCAGACCTGTTTCGGGCTATTTAGCCCCTCGTCAGTGCAAGTTAGTGTCCATCATCAACATGAAGTCGATGATTTTCCATAACCGAGAATCGAATTCCTTTCAAGGAATCTTTTCTGCAACTAGGCTGAAGCAAACGAGAAACAACATCTTTGTCATCGCACAATCTGCCCTTGAACGAGGTATCCAACCTAACCTATAGTGTAGGTCAGTTGAGACTGGACTGAAAAAATCGTTCTTTCAGATAATTTGATTCACAGCAAGTCTCTAAGTAGGTCCACTCACTTTATGTGAACCAACATCTAATGATAATATATGTTCCCACACACTGTGTAATCTTTTGGGCGATATATGTTTATGATGTCATCACCTCAAATACTATAAGTTGCATTGCTTGGCGGAGAGAGGTATCAAGAGGCATTTGGAAAATTACTATGAACATTATCGATGATTGGAGAGTTATAAATATCTATCTGATCAACCAGAAGAATGTTGCTTTTACTAACAAGATGTTTTTTGATTCCAATCGATTTCAATATATTCAATTTCAGACTTTTTAGTTGAATGTATGGAAATTCTACACAGGATTTTGTGTAAAATTGTGAGATAAGATGATCGCTGTAGTTGAAATCTTGTTTATTCAGTCTATAACTTTTCAAATGCTCCTTGAACCTGGAAGCAGTTGAAACTGCTTCCAGTCTGACCTTTTTCGAAGCTATTTTAGGTCGTAGTCTACAAATTTTATACCTGACATTTTGGCTTCAACTGCGATAAACAACATGAAAGGTGATGAAGCAACAGACTAAGGTCTCAGTAGTTATCCACACAGCAGACACTACATTATTGGTTTGGGTATATAGCTCCCTCAACTTTGTCTATACCACTATACCAACAATGTCTTCTAATTATATGTTAATCAGTTACTATTTTTAGTTCAAACATTCATCAACTAGGACCAGGGTATCAGTTTCTACAAAGCTACTGCAATAAGCCTTTGGTAAAAAAGGTATTTTTATTTCTACTGAAAAAATACGGCTCCGTACCTGAAAATGAACCGTCAGTATGTTCAGATCTTTCCTATTCTCCGGGAAAGTATCTCCTGAACGACTTTATCACCTGCTAAAGTCCTAATCGGCCATATTTTCGAGTTCAGCAGGCGTTACGGTCCTCTTTCGCTTTATGATTTCATTTTCTGACTTACAAATTTAACAGCTTCGAGGATAACCTGGGTAATGACCCCATTAGCCATTTTACGAGTTGAACGAAGGGGAAAATGTTCGAAAAATGTGGATGAATGAGACGTTGCATCTGATGTTTTCGATAAATGCAGATAAAGAGGGTTGATTTACATTTGAAATTATCTAAAGAACTGATTTGTAATCGATAATAGGTTTTTTAATCGATCTGCTAAAGGAATTACTCCACGTTTCCATACAGATTTTTTTAAGTGAGTAAATTGAACCTCTTGGTGGAATCAAATGTGTCACTTGAATACCTACCGTGAAAGTATCTATAAAAGTGAGACAAATCTCCAACTTTTCTTCGATGTTCCAGGCTATCAAGGTTGCAATGTTGCAGTTGAAGTTCGCGTCTCCAATCAGGCGGATGGCTCCTTTCTGGATGGAATCCGGCAACTTTAGGAACGGTTTGGGGGCAGAACTTCATACATGGGAACAATACTCCAAAGAAGGCCTGCTCTGAGCTTTATAATGCATCAAAAGTTGCAGAGCTGTGTATATTCCTCTGGTTTGGAATAGTTACATTACAAATTATTTTATCGTCATCTGGCATTTTACAAAAAAATCATCTGGAGAGAGTCTGCAGGGACTCCAAATTTCGATGTTATGCCTCTTTTCAGCTCATTACTAAATGATGTTGTTGAGCGATTCTCATCCAATTTCCTCTACAAATTCAAACTGAACCAAAGCGCTGCCCAAACAGTCCAAAAAATCAACCAGGCAATTAGCAATGATGGTGTTGATGAATGCATTGTTTGTCGTTGGTTCGCAAAATTTTGTTCCGAAGAGATTTTAGCCTCGAAGATGAGCCCCAAAGTGGTCGGCCTGCAGTAATCCAGAACAAAGATTTGATGACCATTGCAAACAGTCCGTGGGACGGCAGAAGAACTGCCATTCGTATTGGAACAGTTCTGTCACGTTTCCACAACCAAAATGATCCTTTTTTGGATCGAATCTTTACTTGTGACAAAAAGTGCATCTTCTATGACAACAGTACAGGTTCGTGACAGTGGTTGGACAACCATGAGCCACTTAGGCACTTCCCAAAGGCAAAACATTTTCCCAAAAAAGACCATGGTTACTGTATTCACTTTTAATTTCTGCAATCGGGCCAATCAACCACAACAGAGACCAATTGTGATGAAATCGAAGAAATGTACCGCACAACCACCATACTACCCATACCTCTTGCCAATCGATTACCATCCTTCCGAGCACTTGGATAACTTCACAGCGGTAGTATAGGACCAGGAAAAAAGGCCTTCGTCGACTTTATCGAATCCAGGGCACACACTTTTCTTGCTGAGGGAGTTAATGGTTTTGTGTTACGTTGGCAAAAGTGGACTGTTTCAAATGGCGAGTATTCCAAATGAATTGAATAAGTATCCATTCTATTCTTCCTGCGGAACATTCTGCTGTCTATTTATCCACCGAAGCGTCGGATAATTAGCCGCCTAAGCGAAAGGAATAGATAATGTTGAAAGACGCTGGAAAATATCGCATTATCGCCTCGGGATGATTTTAATGAACTTGGGCCGATGACGGTTGAGCCGCTAATAACGTACAGAAATTTCCATCTACATAGACTTACTTAGCACCGTTGAAACGTATTCATTAGCTGCGGGTCCTAATGGATCCCGGCATATTAATTAATAGAAGACACTCAAATTTAATAATAATGATGAAGTATTTCAAGATTGGGGATGGCTTGAAATTCTTGTTTACACAAGCATAGGCGTTGTCGTAATATGTTTTGTGAGTAGTTGGCATACGTTTTCAGTCAGGGGTGCTGCTTTATTCTGAACGAATAAATTGTAAGTCGTGTGTTGAAGGAAACGGAGTAAATTAGATTTGATAACCCATTCAATGCATTTTGGACTTCGTCCTTGGACATATACCCAGCTTCAAATCATTTTTCTTCTATGTTACATTTCATATTCGTCTATTTTCAGCCCATTGAGCCACTGTAGTATAAACTCTATCAATACGCATCGATTTTGATTAAATTTCGGAATCAACCTCTACCTACCCGTCACTACTTCAAAATCTACCCTATGCTGATACGTACTCACAATTCTGAGGGGTGAAAACTACCCCCTATTGCAAAAACTTAATCAAATTATAACT